GAGGGGGGAGCGGGGAGGGAGGGGGAAAATGAGGACCCAATGTCGGGAGTTTAAGTGGAGAGAAAATGTTTTGAGAAACGATGTACAAATGCACTTTACACAATTGATGTGTGTATGGATTGGGATAACAGTTGTATGAGCCCCTAATAAAATGTTAAGAAAATAAATAAATAAGTAGGCAATGTTGGCATTTTTTTTACAGGGTAGTTTTCACTTGTTTTGTTCATGCAGGGTGATGACATGGGGACCAAAATGTCCTGCCAACAGTCTGAGATCTGGAAATGAGAGAGTAGTGGCCAACACATCTGACTGTCTCTCTATCCACCTGCCCATCAGTATCCATCTAATCTATCATCTATCACTGCTGTCTGTCTATCCATTTATCCATCACTTAGTTATGTCTGACTATCATCTTTCTTTGATGGTCTAAATCCCTATCGTTACTTAACAGGTTAGAAGCACTTGGCTTTGGTCGTCCTGCCTTATCCTGTTTTGAGCACTAGGAACATGAGTGACAGAGGGTACAACTGTCAGGGAGGTTTTTTTCACAGTGACAAATAGCACACAAATCATAAAAGACGAGCTTACCCTAAATCATCCTGGAATATACTGCTTGATGCCAGGCCCGTGAGAGAGAGGCTAGAAGTGGCAGGCTCCTGTTGCTGACCTGTGACCACACTCACCTCTCCACCAGCAACTACCTGTGTGGCAGAAGAAGAAGGAGAAAGAGCAAACCACATGTTCGTGAGGCGGAGGGATGTCTGCAATTTCCCTTCATGAAGAATTTTCCTTCAATTTGGATCGAGACTGTACACATTCTAACTTAGTAATTTCTGTTCACATCAAATCCAACCAAAGACACATTTCACAAGATCCAGAGGCCTCTTCAACAGAGTAAAAATATTCTACTAATTCAATTCTGCACAGCTCTTGATGCTTTTAAAACATAGTCTCATAGGCAATTATTATTTTTTATTCACTCATACTATTTGAAATTCTAGCCAAGAATCATGTTCTGTGAAGGCCTTGTATTTCCCCCACTTTAGATAGCAAGTATGAGCCACGCTGGGGGATGAGTTTCACATGCATTCTCATGGACTTCTTAATGTAATACTGATACTCGAGGGGAGATATTAAATACAACAATAGCAAGAGATGCCATCCCTTTTAAGGCTCTAACATCAAACCTCCTTTTGTTCCCAAGCCACCCATGTTCTCCGTAAGACGAAAGGTAAACATCTGACCTGCATCTCAATGGCGCCTGAGGCACTTTTCAGTAAGTTCACAGCTTGGGTGTGAGTCATCCCCTCAGTGGAGGTGCCACCAATTGTCACAATCCTGTCCCCAACCTGCAAGGGAGAGGAAGCGATGTTGCCAGCAGTTGAGTTGATGATCAAGCTGTGGTGAGCCCACGCCCAGGGAGAGTAAAGCCAGCCTGTGTCCTTCCCCCATGGCAGGGCAGTGGGCTCTCGGGCGCTACAGGGCTTTCCTGGCTGATTTTCGGCAGTAGATCAATAGGCCTTGCTTCCTCGCCTGTGTTCTCTAGAGGCTCTGCTGAAACCTGTATGAACATCAGTCCCTGGATGGGGTGGGGTGGGGGGCCTGGAAACGGATCCCTGTCAGGGGAAGGGAAACTTCACCAGGGCCCCCCAGGGCCTCCGTCAGAAAGAAACAGCTGTGGGCTCCAACAGCTGCGGGGAGCCGGGTGTTCAGAGCTGAACAGCTGCCCTTCTCTACCTTCCACATCCCACTGAGAGGATTTCCAATGGTTCATGGGGGCGGGGGTGGTTGGGAATCCACTATTAATCTCATTTTTCTTTGAATTCTGTGCAGCCCTCCTCACGCACGTCACATGCTGCTAGTGGCAACTGGAGCCACGGAACCGACTGATTTAAAGAAGTCAAGAGAAAGAGCGACCGTAAACAGATCATCCCTCTCGAGCTCTAT